TTTCTAGGCTCATGCAAACGATGCTGCAACATTAGTGATATTGATATACTGGTCAAACAGATATGGAATCTTCCCAGACTTCCCAGATTTTTTGCTACTTAAGTTTTTAGACAAACTCGACAGCATATAATTTCAGTTTGTAGCCTTACTAGGTGAGCCTTATTCCTAAGTACCCATACTCTAAACTCAAGTAGATCTAGCATGAGTTGAAGCCAACAACTCTATATTACAATTTTCCAAGAGTTAATAAGAAGATATCCCAACATGTTGATCAAACACATTGAAAATAAAATAATAAAAGCAACTTCAACTCAGTATACTTCATCATTAAGAATAGAAACACAGTTTACAGCCTAAGTTCACAACATCCTCCCCTTACAATGGAGTTTAGCTACGCACGACCATAAAAGGATAAAGAAAAATTAACAAGAATAAACTTAATACAGAATGGGAACTAAGGGAAAGAGAAGAAGCTGAAGAATATCAGCTCTGAATGGGTCATCAATCCTCAAAAGCTTCAACTATCTCCTATTCTCCTTGTCATCTTCGAACACCTTGGGAGCTTTATTGAAGTGATAGTGAAGTGATGGGTTGAAAAGTATGTGGAGGCAACCTTAAATGTAAGTCTTTATACCCCGTGGCTTTTAGGGCAAATAGGCCTGTTGCTTTCTCTTTGATGCTGTGAACATCCCAGAAATGGAGGTGAGTTGTTTCAACATGTTGGCTTGGTTGGTGGTGACTTCCTTGATGGCGAAGACAATGTTCTCTCCTCTTTTGTTGTGATCCACTGACTTCAATCTCTTAATAGCAGCTTCATTGATCAATCCCATGTCTTTGAGCATTTGATCAGTCTCCTCCATCTTTACACCCGAGAGAATACAGAGCTTCGTGATCAGGTTTGGGAAGAATATATTTCACTGCTTCCTCTTATCTACTCCAACAATCTCCCTCTTGACTAATTGGCCTATATCGATGCTGAGGCTTTCCATGATGCATAATAAAAGGAGAATTCTTTCTTTGGTGATTGAGGCGTCGTGTGTAGTGGCCATTAGCTTGCTCTTGAGGAGATGGTGCCAGACGTTGGCTTTAGGCTTGAGGTATGCAGGCAGAAAGGTTCATGCTCCCCTTGTTGATAATTGCCAGCGGGCACCATCTACCCCTATGCATCTCCCAAGGCCTTATTGAGCTGCTCCTCAGATGGAGCAGCCAACATTTCATTAAAAGTAGCATGGGTATAGTTAGGCAGGTTATATACATCGTTTATGGCCTCTGCACTCCAGCAGACGTTCTTACCGTGCACCATCACTCCAGCAGGGCTTTGAGGATTTAAGTTGGCGTAGAATTCCTATACCAATTGGATGATTGCAGGTTTGGGCTTAGCACAGAATGTCTGCCATTCATGCCTGTTCACTATGCTGGTCACAAACTCTGGCATAGGAGAATCAGTTGGGAATCCTCTCTCACCCAACAGGTTTCTCTCTTTCAGCTTCTCGAAGTATTCTGATGCGACAGCATTAACGAATCGCTCATA